GCGTCGCGGGCGCCGCGCGTCGCTTTGTGACACAAAATGGACCCTTATCACCTTCAAAATACAGATCAGTCTTGTCTAATAATCGTAAGATGTTAGGGCAGCGCCATCTAGTATTTAAACATAAACATATTCATTTGCGTCGCGGGCGCCGCGCGTCGTAAGCCCCATACCTATTGACCGTACGTGCATCCATTACTGCCACACTATATTGAACTTTATCACATGAGGAATACAGGTCAATTCCGTAAACGTTGTGGTACCGTCCTTGATCCGGAAAATGATTATTTTGAATAATTTTGTCAGTTGTAATGTAAGCATTAATAACAGCAACTTTATTTTTCATGCATGATTTACTTCATTTGATATCTTAATCCTTCAAGCGCCGTGATCTAGACAAAATATATAAAATCATTGTTCCTAGCTACCGGGGTCCCATGCGACGCGCGAAGGCTTAATCATATTATTATAAAGTATTATTAAAATAATGTGTAATTAATAATATTGCGATTCTAAAGTAAATACTCCCTTACATAGACAATTAATAATTTACACAAGACAAAAATTGTTAGAAAGAAAGTTAATAATATTGTATTCGACTGTACTCAATGTAATGTATGTAGAAGTTTACAATCAAATTTAATGGTTTTCTAGGTCAAAAGTCAAGCAAAAATTGGACTGATATTGGGCACTATTTCAAGCACAATTTTTTGAGACGTAAATTGTACCTATAGCTCGTTCGATATTCGCGCACTGAGGTGAGTATGCTGGGCGTAGAACCTACGCCCAGCATACTCACTGAACGAAGCCTATAACTCCGAAGTTATTCGAGCACTGTTTTTTCTTTTTGGGCACCGTTTGGCACTATTTGGGAACTATTTTTTGAAGTATGAATTATGTTTGAAGCGTATACAGATTCTCCGGACGGAGGTGAGTATGCTGGGCGAAACCTTCGTCCAGCATACTCATCGAACTATGGCTATAACTTCGCAAGTACAAGAGCACTATTTTTTTCCTTTGGGCACTATTTAGCACTATTTCAGAACAGTTTTTTGACATTCATGAAATATCAGGATTCCATGGTGAGTATGCTGGACGAAGGGACACTACATATTCTACTTCATCCTTCACATTGATCGTAACTGTGGGCATGGGCATAGATTGCCTCTCAACATTTCCAAATAACAACCCCATTCTTGTTGTGTGTTGTGACAAAACAAATGGTTTTTCTTTCTTTTTTTCTATTTAAAAATTGATTATTTATAATTTCTATTTTTATTTATTAAACTTTAAATCACACAGGTAAGTATGTTATAATTTAAGCCCCACAAAACCGTTTCAATGTGATTGGTTGCTTCATTGGTGCCGGCCAATTAGAGCGCCGAACGCATACTCGTTACAAATACTTGAAATGTAAAACAATCTCGTACTAAGGCCGCTGAAGTGGTAGTAGAGCTCCCTATTATAACATTACATATACGCTCATACCTGGCGTGAATAAAGTGGGAACTGCATCAGGGCTCAGTCGTCTACTCCATGTCAAATATTTTGTTTCAAAATGGGCATGGCACACTCGACGGTTTCTGAACACATATTGAGGATCCAAAGACGATACACTTGTTCCAATTGCTCGAGTCCATTCATTATATCGCGCCATGTCCTTGTCAGGATTAGGGAATGAATGGAGTACTGTAGCATCTTTGCCTAAAACAGGTTCAATTAGAAGCCTTTGCTCACATCTACGGTGGTTAGTGAAATTTGCAAGCGGTTATTTTAATTATTATTATAATTCGACTTTGCACACATAAGTACCATAATATCTAACTGTATTTCGTACTTAATATCATAGATCTTCATCAATATTTACTTACGTGTTTTATCGCACCACGGCACACAACAACCTCTCCCGGAAGCGGTCATAATCCAGGTCAATAGTGCACAAATCGTCAGGCAAATCTGGGTCCAAGGTAACAGGCGTAAGTCCAAGGTATCAAGCGAAGTCGTCGGGGCCCGGGGATAAAGCAAAATTATACAAACACAGACGCAGCGCATTCACGGATCATAAACAGTAAACAGAAACAAAATGACAATGACATTGATATAAATTGACATTGACACATGACATAAGGCGGCGTATGGCGGCGCACCGTTTCTATTCTCAATATTTTTATTAAAAGATTATGCAAATAAGTATAAAATAACAACGTAATTATGTAAAACAAAGATCTCTTTATTAAAATATTCGGTTGTTCTACCATAAATACTCTTTGATATTTAAATCTTCTTTTCCAGTAGTTACATTAATAATAATTATATGCGTAATACGGAACGGTATTGCCGTAGATTTGGATGTATGTTATTTACCTACATAGGCAGGTATAAAAATTTAAAACAGACAACGACATCTACTGGAATATGGCAAAACATTTAATGCATAGAAATCTGGAAGCACGGTATTGCCCCCGCCAAGTTTCGAGCGAAACGGGCACGGCCGTACCATCTTTTCTCGAGGCGATTCGCGGCTGTTTCGCCTCCCCTATATCTTCAACGTGGACAAAGCTAGGAGTTTAGATTTAATAAAAAATCGGTCAATAATAGTAGGCATTAGAACCAGCTGAAGTTCGAAATTACATGCCAATTGAATTAATAATTTAGGAGTTACGGTTGATCAAAGTTACACCATTTTGTCACTTACTGACTCACTGACCGATCATCAAAAATCTAAGGTATTTAGCAACTTTAAATTTTGCACCAAGACAGGTCATTAGCCACATATAAAGGAAAAATTATAAACGCATTAAAAAATAATATACCATAGAAAACAATTTTATATTTGCATTTTGGCAAGAACATCGTGTATAGATTTTAACTGCATTGTTAAGTTTGTTCAATGTTGAAGTATTCAATTGGATGAATACATACATAGAATACAAAAGAATAATATACATATAATACATAGACTTTAATTAATACTATATTTTTAACTCGTCGAGTACCGTCATTATAGACACAATTATAGAACAATAGGTTGCGGTCACCGGTGTCCTCGCGGTGTTTGACAGTTTAAATTATAGTGACTTGGCAATGTTAGATGTTTTGTAGGCGTGACAATTTTTTTTAATCAGAATAATTTATTTATTCTGATAACTTAAATGGCGTTGTTTATTTGTGAAATTGTCTGGGTGATATCCCTCCGTTTTTGTACCGAGTTATACTTTAGGGAACAGAGAGTATAGTTCCCTAAGATTGGATTGGAGGATCCTCCGACCAGGCGAGGTGATCGTGTCTGGCGGGCTTTCTGCCCAACAGTTGTTCTATCTGTGTAATATTTGCATGTGCGATGTAGGATTCTTGTGACGTCATCCGTTGATTATTTTTTTCTTCTGTTATTTGCGTGAACTGTCATTTGACACGTGACATGTGTCGCCACAATACCACCATGAAAGCAATGACAGCCAAAAATGATTAAAAATAGTAGATTCTAGCGACAAGTATTTAAAAGTATAAATTTCGTATTTCGATTCGAAGATGTTTTTAACTTTATTATCCAAAGAAAAGCGTTAAATTGTTTAAGTTAATAATAATAATGTTGATTGTCTACCAAAGTTTAATAAGTACATACATACTCCCATGGGGGTAGGCAGAGACTAAGGAACGCCATTTACTACGATTCTTACATACCTCTTTCGCTTCAATAACAGTCATCAATCTTTTCATGCATGCTCGTCGGTTAAGGGTACTTTTTTAATAAGTACACCTGAAAGTTTATCATTAACCGATAGTTCAAGGTACCTGCCTGATTCCTACTTAAACTAGTCCCGGAATGAACACCAAAACACCGATTCCGTTCGTGGCCCCAGAAATGCCTAGAAAATTATCATTCTGGATCTTGAAACCGACTACAACTGAAAAACGCGGACAAAGGAGAAAAAAGGAAACATTTTCTACATAAAATACGAAATGCCAATAATAAAAGCAAAAGAGAAGTATCTAGTTCTTCTCAAACTGATATATACATCCTTCTTGGATGCATAGCAGACAATAATGGCATGTAGAAATAACTGCGTAAACACATTGCGTGGGAGAGCCACGCTTCGGCACGAATGGGCCGGCTCGACCGGAGTGATACCACGCTTAAACGCTTGGGTTGTGTGAGTGAGGGAACAGGGGGCCCAATTACCCCCCCTTCCTAATCTCTGAATCCCCAACAATCCTCAAATACCTAATCCCGAAAAGGCCGGTAACGCACTTGTAACGCCTCTGGTATTCCGAGTGTCCGTGAGCGACGCCGATTGCTTACCATCAGGTGATCCGTCTGCTCGTTTACAGGCTTATCCCATTTGATATCATGGGGAGGTCTAACTCTCTCAACCATCACAACAGAGGGAAAAAAATAGCCGCCTCCTCCTTTCTTTGAGGTCGGTAAAAAAGTATCGTTTTAGACTTACATTTAAATCCAGGTACCGCCGTCCTGAACAACTTCTTCTCGATGAAGCAGGTACTTTCAAAATGTTTGCTACATAGCATCTTATGCTTTGCATACATTTCATTTTGGAATTGTGGCGATGACCAGTCTTCATTTGGATAACAATACTTGGCCCATAATTCACACCTGAAAAATAAGAATTATGAGTAATACATGTAAAGAAATTAGATTTCTCTTTAAGATATTTGTCTGTGATAAAAAACTGGCTAAAGGCACTGTTTAACCTTCATGACAATGACGCCATCCAATGACATGGATGGCGTTATTGTCAGTACTAGTGTCATGGCGGTATTGTGGATTTTGTAATATGGTGAACTTAGAGAATAAATTATTAATTTGACTTGACCGTTATTCGAAGCTTATTTAATTGAGATAGGCCTTCCGCTTCCCTCCTTCCGCTTTTCCTATATGTCTATCTCTTTCTACTACGTCACTTCCATTTGGCAGTGGTGGGGAGGCTTGCTAAGAGAGACTCGCCATTTTTATTTCATTGGCGTCTTGTTTCCCGCCGTAAACGGTTGTGCCTTGTGAGTCACAAGACAACCATTCACAAGTTGTGAAACTACCTTCCGATTTTATTATTATTTCCTTATTATAAAAGTGATAAATGTCCTAACGGCTTTTATTACAATTGTAAAAATTTTAAATTAAATAAAGATTATTCTTTCGTTATCTATTATGGAAAATTCAGGTAATAATTGCGATTATTCATGTTGTTCCTGAACACTTCTTCGTATGGAAGTGTCGATCTAAACGTAAGTTTCGAAAACTATCTAAACAGGTACGTAACCTTTAGCAATAGATTGTTTGTACGTGAGTACCATTTTGGACCATGCATTTCTGTCTAATGTTATTGAAAATTTATAAGAATATTATTTTGATGTTGATGACCTGATAAATTGTTTTGAAATTGTATGTCTATCAAAGTGTGTCTTCGGATAAAACTCAAGAGCTGTGCTCCCAACAGAACTGTTGGTTAATTCGGTACAGTCTTGGACTGTATATTGCATACGTGGAATTGCTGACGCGATACCCTATGCTATAGCTATTGCTCAGAAAATCGGGTGGATTTGTACCACTATACGAACAAAGAACGAAGGTTCTGTTCGACTGTTAATAATATTGCACAGTTATTTGTCTGTTGTACCTAATTATCTTGCAAAAGTGAGATGACTATGCAAATATAGAACCGAAGTGCGTTCCTATTATATATTTTGTTGCTTTGATATTAAGTTTGAGTTTAAAGTTAATGGTATACTTGATTGAATATTGTGTGCACTTTAACACGGGATTTTCGGAACCCTTCAAACTGCTAACTGCTACATGTGATATGCTACTTCAAAAGTACCCTTTTTCCACAGGGGATTTTAGTAAGTACCTAGTCTTAAGCTTTATTACAGATTGTTTGCGGACATCGTTCTGAGATTCTCCTAATACTAAGAGCGCATAGAGGTTTACTGCCGCTGTAGAATAAGCTGGTGGCGTGAGAAAATGTTTTTGGCCATTGCAAAAGGTAAATATTACATCTACCTCGCAGGTAGATCCAAAAGTTTCGAGGCCCGTCGCAGGGGCCACAGCCTTACAAAGTCCTCGCAGGATTTTTGCTCAAGGTTTCCAACACATTAATACACATTCGCAATGTGCTAGCAGTATCTCACCTTCGCAAGGTGGTGACAACAGCAATAAACCCGCCTCTGCAAGGTGGTGACAACAGCAATAAACCCGTCGCCGCAAGGTGGTGACAACAGCAATAAACCCGTCGCCGCAAGGTGGTGACAACAGCAATAAACCCGCCTCCGCAAGGTGGTGACAACAGCAATAAACCCGCCTCCGCAAGGTGGTGACAACGGCAATAAACCCGCCTCCGCAAGGTGGTGACAACAGCAATAAACCCGCCTCCGCAAGGTGGTTATATCATATTCATGCTGTTTTTATATATTTCGGTCGCACCGAAAAATTGGAATATCTGTCGGAGTTGGTCAAATCCTCGGCAGAATAAAATTAGCCAAGTCAGGAGCGAAGACGTGTATCATCGCCCCGTCATTGATGCTGCAGCATTGACAACAAACGACGTAAGTATTAACAACAGAGCGGACAGTCTCCTGCAATTGGTAGACCGATGGGAACTTGTGAACGTCAGATTATGATAATAAAAAGGTATCGCATACCCTTTTTACAAAAACTGACCCTGGTTCACCCCAATGTTGTCGGAACGAACTTGTTGAACTGGAACATCTGTTCATCAAACATCTGTTCTAGAATCTCTGACACTCTGTTCAGAAATGACATCAGTCATGAACAAAATAACAGAACAGGTAGTTACGGACCGAGCTACTGAGCAGCCAAGCTTCCTACCATTGATATTTCTGGTCCAAGGGCGACCGCATCGTCCATTTGGAAATTCAGAATTTATGTATCATCTGACCGATTCGTTAATGCACATACGTGTTAAAACACATAGTATTTCACATTTTCTACAACCTGATTGTCTATGCAAAATCGACATTTCTCAGGCGTAGAGTTATTTTTCTGTGGCCCGTAGCCACGGAAGGTTTATGTGCCTAAATTATCGCAACGAATTGCTACGAATGACTTGCTTATCATTAGGCATGAGCGCAGCGCCCAATACTTTTGCTACGATTTTCCCAGACACTGGGACAATGAGGTGTCGGGATTTTTTATTGCCATCAGGACGAAGGCCAACTTCGGACTTCGTATGAAAATTGGGCTCCATGTTCTAGAAAAGTTGGTTTGGCTATTTACACAAAAGTCATTAAGCCAGGGATCCATGGTCAAATCACAAACATTTACCCGGTAGTAAAATTTCTGGGGTCATTTTGCCATTTAATGCGGAAGAAATGCAAGTCACGCACAGAACTCCAGAGCCTAGTTATATTTGCTGCTTCTGCAGTTTCAAGACTCTAGTCAAGAAAAAGACTCTACTTTCAAGCGTTTCTGAACCTACAAGAATAAAATCTTAAAGGGCGATCGCAGATGGGTCTTCATTTTACCTCATGTGAACAATCTTGTGTGGGAGGAGCCAGAATTATCATCTTCTGTCGGTCCTACACATGCTACTTCTACCTTCTCATTCCCAGCAGCTTGCACAATGTGTCAGATATTGCTAAGGGAGCTTACCTGGGCAATCTCTTTCTCCTGGGTCTCTGGTCAGAGCACGAGAAAGATCGTCATAGTAGCCAATCCTGAAATAGACTGGTTTGATATAGGACGACATCAAGTCTATCGCATATATCCGTTACGAAAGGGGGGGGGGCCCCAAGTGGCTCCACTTCTGGATTTAAACCTCCGTTTCCCATTATACGTTCATATGCGTTAACATACACGTATTTCATGTACCAGATATATAATGTACAATGTCAAGGCAGATCATCTGTTGAGGTTTGTGAAACTTTAGAGAGCACCAGCTGTCAGCAGAATGCACAAACCAAATGGTCTCCATATGCGAAGTTCCACTGATCAACTTATTTGCGTCATACCGAGTACATGTAGTGACATTTACGTGCCTTTATATCAAAACTACGGACAAGCCCTGTTTGGCGACGCGTTTTTTCCACATATGGAAATGTTTTAAACCCAGCGGGGGAGTTCTCTCCAAGCTTTTTGATTTCTTAGGTCCTGGATTATTTCAATCAAGCACACAGAACGTGCCTACTAGTAGTTCCTTAATGAGGGCGAGTTTTTTGGCGTGTCTCGCTTGCCATAGTACCCCGCTTCTTTACGCTTTATCACCTAGACAAAGTCCTAATTAAGAACAAGGCGGCCACCACCGAGCGTCTACGACATGACCTTGGAAGTGTGGAAACGTGAGATGTCTGGAATACTATTAAAATGATATTCTATACAATTGAAATCTCTTAAGAAATCATGGCGTCCGTCAATACGTTAAATCTATAGTGCAGTCCTCAAAAGGTTGCACCGCACCGGAGGGGGGGGGGACCCTCAGCTCCTATAGCAAGACTTTTGACTACATTTTTATCTATATCGGATCTCTATTGAATCAATAATTTGTCGTACAATTAAAATTTGTCACAAAAATCTGTGGTTGCTGTCCTTTGTTAACCAGAACCATATGTCGTTTAGCATGTATTGTTAAAAACTATACAATCAGTAACATTAATTTAACTTATGAACTAACACATCAGTTAGGTACTTATATTTGAGATTAACTGACTGTGTAAAACATGTTGTAAATGGTGATTGATCATGTCAATCCCCCTGTTTGGGTCATAAACGATCTAGCTAGATTCTTAGACAGTAAACTTATTAATAGTCTTTCAAGTGCAGAGACAAACAGCTGTTCCATTTCTCCTATACTCCAGGAAAAGATTCCATGACCTAACTTTCCTCGATATTGATACTAATAATTACCATAATCATAATGACGTAGACGTACTAGTTTTTCGGTCGGCTTTTAGATCAAAAACTGATTCTGTTGATTAAATGGATAATAATAAATTAGCTTTCACGCACGACTTTGCCCGTGTATTTCTACCATGGGAGCATTTAATCGGGATATATCACCGAAGTCGGCCCATACCCAGCCTGTATACCAAATTTCTAAAGCTCAGATCCAGTCCAATGGACTAAGCATACCATAAGAGGCATAACTTAATGGCGTAAGCTGTGATGTTATGTGTCAATTTTGAAAATAATGCAAATTTCTTAAACCGACATAGAAAAATTTAATTGCGGTCAGGATAAAGTTCCTTCTTGGTGGTAACCGATATTAAGATATCAGTAATCCCCCAAGATATCCTGAGGGTTTCAGATCAGCTGTGATCTGAAAAAATTTAGTGGATAGTTATCCTTTTGAGGCGATCCTTTCTAAGATGTGTGTGCCTTTGTATGTCACCTTTTTATTCAATACAGACGATTAGAAAATTAGAAACGAGGCAATAAAATACCTCAGAAATATTTAATATCTGTTTTTGTTCAGATCAAATACAAAACAGGTTTTCTATTCAATACCTTTCATTAAAACATGTATATGTTTTTAGATATTTGCTATTTTACTTAGTTTTTCTATTCTGTGATTTTACCACATAATACCAGGTAGTACGACTGCGGTCAACGCAGTCATACTTTACCTCACATTGGCGTCTGTCACTTCCACCAGGCGATAACAAACACGTCTCAATTAAATAAGCTTCGAATAACGGTCAAGTCAAATTAATGGAAGCGTTTTACCTACCAATAAAACGCATATTAAACTGTCAAAGACCAAGCGGTCACCGGTGACCGCAACCTATTGTTCTATAATTGTGTCTGCAAAACCGGTACTCGACGAGTTAATTTACTTACCTTATTCGAAGCTTATAGTCAAGCTCTGCCTGGTAATGAGACTCAATGAAATAAAAATGGCGAGTCTCTCTTAGCAAGCCTCCCCACCACTGTCAAATGGAAGTGACGTAGTAGAAAGAGATAGACATATAGGAAAAGCGGAAGGAGGGAAGCGGAAGGCCTATCTCAATTAAATAAGCTTCGAATAAGGTAAGTAAATTAATATGCGTTTTATTGGTAGGTAAAACGCTTCCATTATACTTTGGTGGAAGAGGAATCGACAAGTAAATAATAAACATTTAATGTCGTTTCTTTGTTTTATCAGGTAGGATTGTAAACCTGATTTGTATTATTTTAAACTGTCAAACACCAAGCGGTCACTGGTGACCGCAACCTATTGTTCTATAATTGTGTCTGCAAAACCGGTACTCGACGAGTTAATGGTTTTTTCAGAGCAACACAATGTTTATTTTTTGAAGATTCCCACTTAAATTGTCTTATAAACATTTAAAAATGAAGGTTAAAGTATATAGTGACCACGTCGGCGTGTCATCAGTGTAATGACAATTTGGAGGATACGGCGCGGCATACGCTCGAAGAGTGCTCTACATGGGCAGAGCTGCGTCGTGAACTCATTACAGTGCTCGGAGGGAATGATCTCTCATTGCCGACCGTAGTGCGAGCTATGGTTGACAGTGAGAGTGCATGGGATGGAGTCGCTTCCTTCTGTGAACGTGTCATGTTGGCAAAGGAGGCGGCTGAAAGAGAGAGGGAGGCGTCCAGCACTCTCCCTTCTCGCCGTAGACGCGCCGGCCGTCAACGCCGCGAGGTGGTAGCTGATCTGCGACCTCCATAGGAGAGACCTTCGGGCGACTGATTAGGGGAGTCAGTCGTCCGCTGAATGGGCGGGAGTAGGCGTTAGCGGTGTGTTCACGCGCGTCACTCGAGGAAGAAAATCGCAGCTTTATAGGGCTGCTACGTGGTGAGACTTGCCACAATGTAGTGGTAGGTCGAGGCCTGCCGGGTGCGGTGAATCCGCAAGGGCGTCCCGGGTCACGGCCACAGGCAGAGGAGGAACACCGCGGTGGTTTTAGCCGGTAAGAGTCCGGCACACCCCCTCGTCGTCCCCACGGCGTGGGAAGTCCATGAGGATTTCCATCGCGTTATAAAAAAAAAAAAAAATATAGTGACCGACATAACCTAATATCTTTGAAATATTAAATATGGGAGGGTAAAACGCTAGCTACGTCCTGTGTGAGCGATCTAAAAGCGAACGAGAAACATCGCCGCGTGGTGCGAAAAAAACAAACTATACGCCCCCTTTTTTTTTTCTTTTTAAGGGGGGAAAATCATCGAATGCCTGCTCCCGCCTGGGTGAGGTGGGATGTAGTGTCAGACTCTTACTGACTAAAAACCACCCCGTTCCTTCTCCTGCACGTCGAGCCGGAGCCCCGGTTACCCGTTAGGTTAGAGGATGCGGTGCGGAGCGGCGCGACATGATACGGACGCGATCAGTTGGTTTGATTATTTTCTTTTTATTTATTATATACTAGCTTTTAGCCGCGGCTTCGCTCGCGTCACAAAAGGATAAAAAGCCTTACTATCCTTACTAATATTATAAACTGGAAAGTGAGTTTGTTTGTTTGTTCCGCTTTCACGTCGTAACTACTAAACCGATTGCTTTGAATTTTTCAGACGTAAAGTTAGAAGTCTGGATTAAGTAATAGAGTACTTTTTATCCCGGAAAAACTAAAAGACTAAAAACCACCCCGTTCCTTCCTCTGCATGTCGAGTCGGAGCCCCGGTTACCCGATAGCGTTATACAATGGGGGGCACATCCGCCTGACCACCACTAAGTTAATGTTTGCTTGGGTCTAAAGTCTAATGATATCCGCTCTCTACCTCCGACCCATGACCTCAAATTGACCAATGAAGCGGAGTGGTAGGGCTAGCGCCACAGCAGGTAGCCGAACAATACCAAACGCACCACTGACTAAAGCATTACATGGGTTGCGTCACTAAGCTGCGACATTATCACTCTTCTATTAGTTGAAACATTTATATCATAGCTTGATGATTTGCCAGGTCCAAGCAATAACATTTTAAAATGATCAAGCGGATATGTCCCCTATTGTACCTATGACGTTTTAAAATGAAAAAGAAAGAAACATGAAAGTATGTAAGTTGGTAGGTACGTACCGCATAGCATTTTGAGTGCCAGGCTTCGGGAATCGATACAAATTGATGCTGGGATCTTTACAAGGTGAAGATCCACACAAGCAGCAGGTTCTAGTGTTTTCTTTGCGCGAATTCATCGCGAAAATTGAACACAAATACAAACAAGAGTCACTGTCTGGACACCGAGTCTATATCTCACAAAAAACACTTTATTACACTAAACACAGTCGTCACATTAACATTACGAATATGAGTTTCTTTATTTGGATATTTGTCAATCTATCACACTGAAACTACTGAACGGATTCTCATGAAACTTGGTATACAGGCAGTGCTGACTTAGGTGATAGGATACTTTTATCCAGATTAAATGCTTCCATGGGATAAATCAGGAATAAGCGGGCAAAATCGGGGAAAAAGATAGTCGCGGAATAAACTAGACTCAAAGTTTAGTAATCAAAAATAAACTCAAATACGAGACAAAATGCTGCGCAGGAGGGGGCCGAGCCCTTAGTACGAGTAAGTTCTATGTATAGAGGAATTGAAAGAGTACGGGTTCTGCACTCTGATTAGCCGGCTCCAATGTCTGGCCAAGTGGTAAGTGTGTTAGCGTCAGGCCCTACTGCATTAGATATCAGAGACACGATAATAATATCATAAAGTACTCCAACTTCATACAAACGCATGGAACGCGAGCTATAGCTACGCGCCTCGATGTGGCGGGCTTAAGTTTGAAATGAGCAAGTATGGTGATTAACCGTTTGAATGCACCGTTATGTATGAGACACAATAGAAATTACATTGTGTCCTGCTTAGATCCACGTTTAGACACACAACGGGTTAATGCTCAAACCTTCTCAGTGTGAGAGGAGTCTTTGCTCAGCAGTGGGCCCTTAGAGGCTGTTGATATATCATCAACCTTGCCACAAAAAATCATTTAAATTGATTCTGAGTTTTTACTCTATGCAGTTTTGGGCATTATCCTTTATTAAACTGTCAAACACCAAGCGGTCACCGGTGACCGCAACCTATTGTTCTATAATTGTGTCTATAATGACGGTACTCGATGAGTTAAAGTTGTTAGTAGCTAAAAGAACAAAACAATTGGGTTAACAAATATATAAATAATGACTTCTACCGGTTGCTTCGCCCGCGTTCCCGTGGTATAAACAGGGGCCTATGTGTTAATCCAGACTTTAAACTATCCCTGTCCCAAATTTCTTATCGATACCTTCAACCGTTTTGACGTGAAAGAGTAACACACACATACAGTGTGAAGTAGAATTACCAATTCATTTATTCTGCATATAATTATACAATGCTGTAAAACATAGTTGTAAGAACATAAACAAGAGACAGACAGATAGGTATATGTATCATCAAATCATCACTTACATGTACAATAGAAACTCGATTAACCGAACTAATTGTTGTCGTTAGGCATTCGGATAATCGAAAATCCGGATAATCGAATGTACTAAGAAAAGCTTGTGCATACAAATGTTGTACATACGATGTTTATGTATGTTATTTATTAAAACATTTTGACATTTTTAAATATTTAGACGTGACACAAGTCAGATGGAGGAATAACAGCTAGCTAACTAAACAATAACGAATCGCGCAGTTCCGACATGTTCATGCATGCAAAAATATAATATGACTTGTGGATAGATTTAATATAATGAGTCGGTAGTCCGGATAATCGCGAATCCGTATAACTGAGAGCCGGATAATCGAGTTTCTACTGTATATTTAAATCTCATTTTTATTAACCTTTTGAGCGCCAATGTCACATATACGCGACAAGCGAAAACTGTCTCTGGACGTCAACGACACAAATACATGACAGAAAAAGCGGAACCAGAAACACGAATTATTGGAATCCCTATTGTTGATACAATAGGGATTCCAATAATTCCTATTTCTTTCGTAGAAATTTGCGTGGAATTTGTGGCTTGGTGTCGAAGGCAGGTTCATGTGTTTTTGCTCTGGCGTTCAAAAGGTTAATGCATTGTGTGTTTAGACGTGGATCCACACCAGACACAATGTATATTATATAGTCTTATATATGGGCATTCAAATGGTTAAACAAGGTCCAGCAAACCTAAGTTCGATGGTTCATTAACTTGCCGTCACCACTTGACACTGGCTGTATAGTCGTCAACACGGTTGGAGACTTGGAACTCGGTTACCGAAAAAGAAAAATAAAAAATAGTTCTATGCCCAACGGCCAAAAAGGTACCGTTCAGCATGAATGCCAGACATCTAGTACCTGACGCTACAGTAATTACCACTTGGTTCACAGTTCAATGCACAGCGTCTGGGCATTATATGTAATAATATTAATGTTTTTGTTTCTACTGTTGTGTCGGCAAACAATACAACGTGGAAATTACTGTCAAGTGTCAACTGTCAATGTCAAAATAACGAAGCAATTTCGTCGCGTTCAAGTTAATTTACATCATAGATGAATAATAGATTTACATCGTTTTGGAGACTCGGTCGCCAATGATAAAAAGGTTAATTTATTTTGACACTAGCGACCCGCCCCGGCCTCGCACGGGTGCAATATGCATGTATTATTCATAAATAAACTTCCTTCCATAAGAATCACTCTATCTATTAAAAAAAAACCGCATCAAAATCATCAGACGGCGAAGAGCGACTTTGTTTTATACTATGTAGTGATTTTAAGCATTTTCCAAACTCTGTTTTAACAAGTCTTTTTTATATTCGTATCAGAATAATCGCTCTTTCAGAATCAGTATATTTATTTGTATCAACTTAGGCATATGTATACATAATGATGTTACCAGAGAATTGCTGGTCGCTATGTTTTGCCGTGAGGCGTGCAAATACTAAATTGCATAAATAAATATATTTTTATTTATTTATTTATTCAACTTACATTCATCCTTACAGGTTAACACCCAATGCGACAAACATCTACAATAGCATAGGTATATAATTAATGCACTCTTTGTGAATTCACCCATAGTACAACTAAATACTTAGTTACATCGGTTTCATTAGAAATTAGGTTGAGCGTGCGAAGTGCACGTGTCAGCGGCGCCTCCCTCAATAGGTTGGTCCGACCGCGGGGCTTCGCCAACAAACGCGGTCGCCGGCGTCGCCACACGTACCTATCCGGAACACACAAGCTCAGCTGCCCTAAAATGACTGCATTGTGCAGCTTTCCTCTTAACCCATTGTACCTCCCCACCATCCCTAAAATAAATAAAGTGGGATACATTTATGGGTACATCGGATAGACCCTATAGTACCTCCAGTATACATATATCAAAGCCAAACTCAATACCATTTAGTTCATTCATTATCCACGTAATACGGATGCAATGGGCGCTAGTGTTGTAACTCAAGAGTATGAAATTTCACAATACTAATGTCGATCGATCGGAATTGGATTCAAGAGTAAGCGCCCTGAATAATTGATTTTGACTTTGCCTGTCTGGTTTGGCAGCCAAAAACATGTAAATTCCCTCAGTTAAAAAAGTAAACGTAGAAAGTGAATACCTCTTATATGTAATTGCATTTTTACATTTTGTTTGTATTTACAAATATTACTAGCTCCTGCCCGCGACTTCCTACGCCCGTCTCTAAGTCCCTAAGTCCCGTTTTCTTCCGTTCCGATTTCTGTCGTAAGAACCTTCTCCTGAAAATAACAAACACAACAAAAAAAAATCAGCCAAATCGGTCCAGCCGTTCTCAAGTTAAAGCGTGACAACGGGAAACGGGTTTCATTTTTATATATATACCTAGATTAGATCTATACATTATTCTGATCACAACTTTTCACACACATACACACACACACAAAGTATTCTGCAGAATTTATTTTTTTTTGTGGTACCACCGTCTGTGAGTCACTGCAGGATGCCACCTGAAAACCAGCGTTGGGCAGGAACGCTCAACTATATGCTGAGGTGCAGGCCCTTTTGGCACGCGCACTATAATATTATTATAATATTTTTTTTTATATTCTTTTCTTTACTCACTTGAGTTTATTATTTATATTTTGTATTCATGTAGGTTTGCATTTTATAAAATCTTTGTTTTGTAATGGGGGTGAGCCTATTGCCATATACCGACCGGGCACAATTCCAGACTCCGTGCTATTACTGAGATTTTTTTTAAATCCCGTAATACTTTGCCGGGAGTCAAACCCGAGACCCCTTGCCCGGTTGTCGCATTTGCGACCACTAGGCGAACGAGGGAGTCCTACCGAAATGTGCGATGCAGAAAGCTACGTGAGAAGCGCACAGTTGTGCCATCTATATGATGGGGTAGAAGGGGCCTCAGTAGTACACAGCGCAAGCGCTGCTTCACACCGGTTTTCTGTAAGGCCGTGGTATTACTCCAGTCGAGCCGGCCCATTCGTGCCGAAGTATGGCTCTGCCTCGCACAGCAAAACTGTGGAATGATCTGTCGTCGGCGGTATTTCCGAACCGATACGACCTTCAAACCTTCAAGACAAGAGCGTTCCTTTTTAAAATGCCGGCAACACATCTGTAACTACTCTGGTGTTGCGGGTGTCCAAGGGCGGCGCTGATCGCTTACCATCAGGTGATCCGCCTGCTCGTTTGCCTCCTATTCCATAAAAAAATATAAAGGCTATAAAGCCGAGCCACCACAAGCATTGATCATTGATGGTGAGAAGGTTATATAAATAAAACATATAATATAATAAACTTACATGTTTATTTGTTGCTACGTACAAGGTTCTTCAGTTTTTATATCAAATAAAAAGGCAGATTCCTACATCCCATCAAATTTACAATTTTCCATACGATCTATAATAATTATACATATAATATTTTCAAATATATATATATAAGTACCAAGTATTATAATTTTTCTAAAAAAAGATACAATTAGGTACATACATATTATTAATTAATTATCTAATTCTTTCAATATTATGGCCGATTACTTGATTTCTTTAGGTAATAATCATTATAAAACGTTCCTTTTAACATAATTGTCAATTAAAAAGAGGCAGTGAATGTCTTCATGTATATTTTAAACTTAGATTATACATATTATATAGTACAGAGACAGATAAACCATATTTGTCATTCATATAATAGGTCGACGTTTAGCCACTATCTCGTCTGCACGATGATGCGGCCTACGATGGAGTACGCCTTTTTTTAAGGGGGGAAAATCATCGAATAACTTCTCCCGCCTGGGTGAGGCGGGAGGGAGTGTCAGACTCTTACTGACTAAAAACCACCCCGTTCCTTCTCCGGCGCTTCGAGCTGGAGCCCCGGTAACCCGTTTCGTTCTCCGCGCCTCCGAATTGGTATCAGCCATGTTGGGCCCCATCGGTGTTGGTCTGATTACTCTTTGAGGCGCGCGCAAAACGCTCGGCGCCGTACGCTCGGGTCTGTTTCTGGTAGGACGGGAAGCCACCCATGCTCGCCGTCCGCAGGCCCGCGCTTACGGTGGCCGGAGACCGTCCCGCGATCCCCGACGCCCGGAGTGTCCTTCGCGATGGCTGGGTTGCGAGGAGGCAGCGCTTCGCTACCTCACGCGTCCCATCTCCTCCTTAGCTAGCATGACTGCTTCGCAAAAGGAGGAGACGACATGCCAGTCCACCTCGCTCCGCATCATGACCCGCACTCCTACATTAGCAACCTATTTACTCGGGCCTTGAAGACACTCTTCATGAAACAGACCTTGGCTAACAAATCTCCTTCCAAAGAAAAAATATATAACACCCACTTTTTACCAATTATGGAGTCCCAAGTGGGAGTGGACTAATTGATTTAAATTCTTCTGTACATTATAATATATATTGATCTAAGTATAATAATATACACGCATATTATGGCTACAAAGAATTCAAAAGAAAGAAAAAACGTAGGTACAAAATATCGCGACATATATATATATATATTTATTCAAATACATACTTAAAGTTATTATATAGGTATTATAATAATTATATTCTTTTGGACTCTTCGAGCTAATTTGTAAAATAATATAATTATGTTTTGGGGTAATGTTAGTGATTGTTTGTTTTTTTGGTCTTATTAAGGGATTTGTTTTGTGTTAGATAGTCCATTTATTGAGAAAGACTATGAAATGTCACGATACGACCAATAAGAGCCGAGCAAATTCAACTTGATAATTGGTATCAGTCGTAACAACCCATTCATTGGAGGCTACTGTATTTTTCCTCACTAGATGGCGCTAATTTTTTGTTTTTCGTTCAATGGAATTAAATGCTTTTCTTAATTAAAAATAAATTATTACAACTGTTCAATACAATGAAATATAAAAAATAATCACATATTCATTAATTGATTTTACGACCGACTTCATTTTAGTATTGTTCCAGCAATTTTTTTTTTATTAATATTTAGTATGCTGTTTGACGCTAAAAGAACATGAACTCACAATACACAAACTCGTACAAAATACATAGAAAACTGTCGTTTGTAGTACCCAATTAGCTAGAGTCACATGTCATTGGTCGTTCAACGTTTGTAAGTTTGTAGAGATTGATAAAAAAAAACGTTTGTCCGATCTGATAAGTTATAAACATCTCTTAATATTACCCCATACAACAACACAAAAATACATAAAATTTAATGAATAACATTAATTACTTACGAAAACCTAATGATGTGTCGAAGTATTGCTTTTGAATTCACACCCTAAATTAATATTGCACCTAAATTACAATTCAGGACTAAAATTTTGATTCAATTTCAAAATTTTAATATTTTTGGTGGTTATGAACGTAGCTAAACTGAATTTTGGCGGGAAGGATGAATTAAGAATTGTCATTAGTGTCAACTGTCAAATAATTATTATGTACTTTTCAATGATTGCAATGTTGCAAAGTTATAAAAATAATACTTTACGGTAGAATTCTGTTCACATAATAATATTTTTTATAACACAAGCTTCAACAAAATTAGTTTACGTTCACTACCACCAAAAAATCAACGGAAAACTTCGTAAAATTTTCGAAAATAACAAAATAGGGATTGTAATACACATTATTTACTTCTAAAATAGCCTTTATCACTAACACAATTATTGCTTACTTAAATACTTACTGAGCCTACTTCTCATGTCAGTGGAACTCATTATCATGTATTAAAACTAATACTTTAAAAAAGAAGTTTGTCAGTTTCACTGGTATGTACATATGTATGTTTGTACGCGAATATCTCGCGATTAGCTAATCCAATTTTGATGCGGTTTTCAGAAAAATGTTTATTACACTCAGGAGAAGTTAACTGGCCTTAAAAAGAGCGAAGTCGATTTTTTAAACGTAGTTTATAAAATATTTATTATTGTTGTCTTATTTATGGGTAAACGAGAAGACGGATCACCTGATGGTAAGCAATCACTGCCACCCTTGGACACCCGCACCACCTACACTAGAAGACTTACAAAGTGCGTAGCAGCTTCGTTGATTGGGCATCTAGTAACCTCACATATCCGGTATGAAACGGGATATATGTCGTTTTACACAAGTTTTATATGAGACCATGGTATCACTTCGGTTGAGCCGACCTATTCGCACCGAAGCATGGTCTTCCATCTGAATCTGAGTTCTCAATTGTTGTCTCAAAACGCTTAACTTAATTTGCTACATTGTTAAGATAATAGGCAAGTTGCACGGGTGGTTCCGTGGGGGCAGGCACTCTAGGGGCACCTAAAGCCCATCCAGTGGTCTCAGGGAAGACGGTGGCACAGTAGTCACGTGCCGCCTTGCACAGCGAGGCTTAAGGGAGACCCCCATCTCCTAAGAGATGTGCCGTAACAGGGGCTTCGGAACAGGTCTCTTTTAGAGGACCCGGTGCCCCTTACAGGTGTTGAGAGTGGCCACCGGGGTGAGTTTAGTGAGGTACAAATCCCACAGTGTTTCTCTCCAAAAAACTCCTCCTCTCCCCCGCCATCAAAAAAAGAGGGTGCGTGAGATGCGCGTGTCCAACTGCACATAGAGTGGCGGCGGCGCCAAAATACTAAGGCGCCTATGAAATGCTTGTCTAGGGCGCTCTTTAGATAAATCCGCCTCTGTTAGGTCACTACCGTAGGGTTACTGATTTTCTGATTTATATAGAGCAGTGTGACTGCGAAGGTCAAGTTTGTAAAATTACAAACTTTCGTGAGACATACCAAATTAATTATTATATTAAATTTAAAAACCAGTATATCGTGGTCAAGCTTTATATGTTCTTTCCGGACATTCGACGGTCATTTAATACTGGTGTTGCATAACTTGGTGTATCGTTGTGTGTACATATATTATTGGCCATTGGGTTACAAAACTTTAGTTTTAATACATAATATTACTTTCGTAAAAACGTATCGGAAACTTTGAAAAGATGGCATTTCTTGTATCTTTCAGTTAGAAACAGTTTTATCGAATAATGATGTCGTAAAAAGCGAACAACAGATCTTGAGCACCAGTGGTAACAATATAATTATGGAGACTTTTTCAAAATTCTAGATCATTTTGCAAAGTTTTAGTGAGATATCAATGTGTGTAAAGAGACTGTACTCAGCCCACAGCTGTGATAACTGCAGTTTCAGCTTCAATAGTAACCTATGGAGTTATTTCCTCGTTCTTGTACATAAGAATCTACGCTTTGCTACGAGCAAATAACAACTAGAGGACTGACGGACAGACTGACACTTTTTATATTGTTTAACGTTCAAAAGTGCGTTATGTTTGATTTTGGATCGAGCACCTAGCTTCATTGACAGACAATTCAATTTTGACGTTTCAAAAGTGCAAAGGATTCATTGAAATAAATGCTTATATTGTTACCAGAGACGCTCTGCTTTTATATGAAAATGTCATCACAGAAGTCTTCTGTCTTCGTTAATTACTTCTGTCGTTTCTTACAATAAGTTTACAAACTACGTAATAATAGTAAATTCACTTTACAATAGATGTCACGAGTAAAAACATTATTATTGTTTGTTACAAATATATATATGTTATTAAAAAGCGTATTTTATGCAAAATCATAATTTAAACGTGATACGACTAGATTTCATTAGGTTCCATTTAATAAAATGAATGTTTTAAAATAAAAAAACGGGGAATATATGAAGTTTTCTAACGATTTTTCCCTATTTTGAATAAATAAACAATGATGAACGTTTTCATAGTACCTATGAGGGGCGCTAAAGTAGCTCAAAGTCTTTTGACCAAGGGTATATTTGCTAATATCAAATCGCTAGACAGCTTAGTGACAACTAAGCTAACTGGACAAAAGAGTTCGAGTCTCCTTAGCGACCTCTAGTAGCGTAAAATTGATAAACCTTATTGTATTATTTACCCTTGGCAAATTATATTTGTTAAGACTAAATTGCAGTTGACTAGAATTACAATTCCTCTTAAAAAATCGCTAGAAATCTTATATTGAGGACAATTTCGCTATTAATTACATTGTTACTAGCGTCTATACAATTCAAAATAATAATTAATTTAAAATGTGCGTTTAAAGTCACAAAGTATAATAGAAAAAAATAAAACTTGTATAACTCCTAAGATTTATGCGTTTTTTACAAAATGGTAGAATGATTTGAGGTATGGCAACATTAATTTAAGCATATTCGAACGCCATCTTTGATATAATTTGCGCGCGGTTTTAAATGTCAGTTGACAAATCTTGTCGACAGAATTTCGACCAATTACAGTAAGAAATATTAAAGTACTGACTTGTTTTCTTAAGATTTAATCTGTTATAATAAAATGTACGAGTATTCAGTAGATTTTTGTATTAGCTGAAACATTAAAGACCGCGTCCAAACCACGAAAAATTAGGTACAATACAAAATATCAACCGAATCGCGATAACACATCCATGTCACAACTCTTATAAAAAGCTTATCGACTAGAAAGTTTTGGTGTCATATCGTCATACGATTAAAAAAACAAACGTCAAAAATTTAAAACGGAGATCGCTGATTGGTCGGTTCAAATGAGGCGCAGGGCATATATTAAGGCGAGGAGTATAGAACTTGCCAGTTGTGGTCGGGACGTCGCCGCGAACATTGGTGTTAGTTCGTCTGCGTGGGCCGTGTGCGTGCCGCCTAGAGTATGGAACTGGAAGATGTCGCTGACCTGGAAATAATGATTATAATAGTTTTTTTTTTTTTTTATTTGGGACAAGCCCGCCACAACCTCCCAAAACCGCTGCAACTCCTGTAAGCCAGGATCTCCAGTAGATACAACCATGCAAATGACCCTCGAATCAAGCCCTTTCGTTCGATATCCACAATGGAGGTAGTTGTGGAACATTAGATTATATTGTATGGCCATCAAGATTAAGAGTGTGTACCAAATATCAGATCGATCTGTCTTCAGGAAGGGGGGGATATTCCAGTTACTTAAGAAATAGGACAAGCTAACTGTTTTCAACAAAAAGGCTATCTTACTTCATTCCACCCATATCTGTTCTTGGCTTGCACGATAGCTTCATATACAGCTCCTGGCTGCAGCCCCCTGAGCTCGTGAGTGACGCGGTGCGTAAGGGACCCAGCCGGCTCCGGCGCTGGAATCACCACGTCGTGCCATCTGCCAGGCTGCTGGAACGACTCATTGATCTGAAAACATAAGGGGTGGGCCATTTATATCAAAGTCAAAGTCAAAATCATTTATTTCAATTAGGCCAGAAAGGCAATTTTGAACGTCAACATAAAAATTAAACAACACATAAACATACCATCACGCCTATTATCCCCGAAGGGGTAGGCAGAGGTGCACACAGAAGTAACACCCACTTTTCACTATTCATGTTATGAGTCCCATGTAATAGAGGGTGAGTCTATTGCCATATACCGGGCACAATTCCAGACTCCGTGCTACTACTGAGAATTTTTTAAAGATAAAGATATATTTATTTAGTAAAACATGAGTAATTACAATGAAGGTGTTTTTTTGGTTAGTACAGAGTCTACATGTTGTGTTGTGTTGAGTTGTGTTTCGTCGTGTGAGTGAGGTTACCGGAGGCCAATTACCTTCCCCTTCCCCAATCTCCCCAATCCCTGAATCCCCAACGATCCTCAAACTCCTAATCCTCAAAAAGCCGGTAACGCACTTGTAACGCCTCTGGTGTCCCAGGTGTCCATGGGCGTTGATTGCTTACCATCAGGTGATCCGTCTGCTCATTTACCGGCTTATGCAATAAAAAAAAAACAACACGCTGTGAACACTTGTAACTCTGGCAGTGTGTTGTTGGCTTCTTGAGGGTTGGTTTCTGATAGAGGTGAATGGACCACGAAGAAGACATAGTTATTTTGTCACACCTCAAAAACCCACGGAGTTATAGAGAAACGCAAAGGTTACCGGGACTCTGGCTCTTGCAGGAGTACAAATGGGCTGGTCAGTAAGAGTCTGACACACCCTCTCGTTTTACCAAAGACGGGAGGAGCCATTCGACGATATCGATGATTATCGGCCTTGAGGGGGGGAGGAATTTGAAGATTGTTGTTTTTTTTTGGATTGGGGAGATCGGGGAAGGGGGGAAAGATAATTGTTTTTTTTTTGACTTTACTCAAACGAGGAAACACAATGCAAACATATTTTTTTTTATAAATCGTTGCCCCACTTTAGGATTGTCTCCTGTGTCGTGGGTGCGTTTATAAACATACAAGTTCACATACACAACCCCACCCCACCCCCAACCCACAACTATGACACCCAGACCCGAAATAACAATTTGTGGATCACACAAAGTGTTGTTCCGTGCAGGAATCGAACCTGCGACACGTAGCACGGCAGTCGGTTGCCCAGCCACCGCACCAACCGTGCAGTTTCACTATGGTTTTCTGCTCGACCGTGGTATCACTCAGGTCGAGCCGGCCCATTCGTGCATTATGCCACATTTAAAATGAAATGCGTTAAGAATATGCAGAATACATACCGCCAACTGTCGGTAAAGAAGCCTGAGCTCGTCCAGCGGCGGGTAGCTGTCGACTGCGAAGGCGAGTAAGTACCGCGTGTGCGCGCGAGCGAGCGGTGCGGACGTGAAGCGCGCGGGGCCCGGCCGCCCCGACACCTCCACGTGCTGGCGCGCGCGGCCCAGGCTGTTGTCGGCCACGCAACTGGGGAGTCGACGGACGGCATTACTCAATGTACGGTCTCAGCACACAGCGGGCGCTGAGCAGTTGTAATGTACGAGATATTATGGACGACGCCACACAGAGCCATCGGTTACCGTCGCGTCGAGCGGGACGGCTCTCTAGCAAAGATAGACTTTGACGTTTATAGAGCTGCTGCTGATGCTAAAGTTAATGTACAACTCAAAATTGAGGGAGGTCAAAGTCAAAATCAAGGTAAAATCTTAATTCGAGACAAAGTCAAAGTCAAAGTTGATGTTTTTTATTGGTTTTTTTTTAAAACGTAGCCCCACTCTAGGGTTTTCTCCCGTGTCGTGGGTGCGTTTACGAACATACAAGTTCACATACACATGACTCCCAGACCCGGAACAACAATCTGTGGATCACACAAAGAGTTGTTCCGTGCGGGAAACGCTACATGTTGCGCGGCAGCCAAATGTCCAGCCACCGGATCAACCACAGAACATCTTTATATGTTCTGTGGGATCAACCGTGCGTGCAGTCAAAAAAATGTCGAAGTCAAAATCAATAATGGAGATACATTTTATTTTACACAAAACTTCCATACCTGTAGTTACCAAAGTCTTCAGGCTGAACATTTGCAATGAGGAGAGTGTGGTTGTTTCCTCGGGCGGACATTGTGACCCTCTCTGAAGCGCTCAGAGGGAAAGAGTTCTGATACCAGGTCACCTGAAAACATAAAACAAATACTTCGTACCAAGATTTTTGGGACAAGCCCGCCACAGGCTCACAAAATCACTGCAACTCCTATGCACCAGGATCTACAGTAGATACAACCATGAAAACACCGGAACACGGAAGTTCAACGTCCCAGGGACATGAATAACTGTCTTGGTCCCCGCAAAATAAATAAGAAGATTTAATAGAGGAGAAAAAAAGATGATAGTTTCAATTCAGGACAGTACTCTTAGAAAGATTTACATACATACAATCATTACCTCACGCCTTTCTCCCATGGGGATAGGCCGGATAGGCAGAGACTTGGAACGCCAATTGCTACGATTCTAACATATCTCGGAAACGTTACAAGTCGACACTGACACAAAATATTTATTCGTGTGGTTTGCACATCTGTGGTGACTTCAAGAATAAATTTACAGTAGGTTTTTTGCTCAGCACTGACTCACATTGTTTTGGAGTCAGTTCTGACCCCGTTGGAATCTTCTTTAAGTCGCAGGCAACGCTGGCGCGACGCGTCTTGCGTCTTCGATGAGCCGGAAAAATAATCGAATGCGAGTTGAATGGGAGCGGTCACGTGGCCGTGACGCGACTAGCAGTGTTCTCGTTCAAACCGTTTTTCCCGCTCACAGCAGATGTAAGACGTGTGACGACAGCGTGGCCTTTTTTTGTAAAATCACCGAATGACTTCTCCCGTCGGGATGAGGCGGGAGCGAGTGTCAAACTCTTACTGACTAAAAACCACCACGTTCCTACTCCTGCATTTTGAGCCGGAGCCCGGGTTACCATTTACGATATCGGCATCAGCCCTACTGGGCCCCATCTGTGGTGGCCTGCGATGCGAATTATTCATAAACAGCGCGAGCGGTGTAAAGACTGGCTACTTGAACCGGTGCGTTCATTGCCATCTCTGATATTTTATCTATGAATTTGTGATGCATACCTCTGCTGGTGGGTCTGCCAGCACTGTGCACAGCAGTTCAGCCCTGAAACCTTCTCCAGTATGCACCCACGACCTCTCTACTGTTATTTCTGGTGGATCTGAAAATTAAAATACAATTTTAAGTGGAGGGGTATGTTTTGGCACCGCTGTGTCGGCGCTGCGCTGCGCTAAGTTTACCGGAGGCCCAATCCTCAATACCCCAACCCTTCACAACCCTCAATTAAATTGAGCAGTATTAAATTTCAGCTCAATCGGTTGTAGATATCTGCTACAAAATTCAGTTACAAGATTCCACTTCACACACACACACACAAACACACACATAAACATACACACATACATACACACACACATACATTGCGAGTTAAATAAAAGCTTGTTAGATTGTACTTACATAAAACTTGCAACTGGAATTCAGCGACTAGAGGTGCACCCACGCCGTTATCGACAGTGCAAGCGTATCGACCACTGTGTCCCCTCTCTAGCCTCGACAGTTGCAACTGTGGGCCTTCTCCTAGTCTTGTATTCGTGTCGTTCTGGAAAACAGGAATCACCTACTTATATAAAAGATGCTCTATCACCTTAGCAATAGAGTTTATTATTGTCTAAACATCATGTTGTGGTACCAAATTGTTTTCCGATTTTCTAAGTGATGCTTTATTGTGAGAGAAATAAGGTCCATTATTAACACAAGCAGCGGGTGACAGTCCACTGGATCATGAGTCTCCTCTACATAAGAGGGTTTGCCATAATATCCGCAGGCAGGCGGAATATTATGTATGTGTTTTTTTTTAGGTATATCAAAGTCAATGTCAAAGCATCTATTTCAATTTTTTTTTAAAACGTTGCCCCACACTTGGATTATCTCCTGTGGTTGGTGCGTTTACAAACATACAAGTTCATACACATGACACCCAGACCCGAAACAACAATTTGTGGATCACACAAAGTGTTGTTACGTGCGGGAATCGAACCCGCGACACGTAGCACGGTAGCCGGTTGCCCAGCCACCGCACCAATCGTGCAGTCAATAAATTAATACTTAATTATGCACTTTTGAAACGTCAAATCACGAAGTCCTTCGCATTAAGCTTCCTTGTGTGTACTGCTTAGGAGTGGAATTCTTTGTCAGAGTCTGTATTTCCTGGAAGGAGCTCCCATCTTTATTGACAGACTATATATTTAATGGGCCGACGTGTGTCCACTATCTCGGCTGGTGGTGCACGATGACACGGGCGACGATGGAGCACGTCGTCCCATAAGCAACCTATTCACTCGGGCCTTGAAGACACCCAGGTTAGATCTTTCAGGAAATACAGACTCCTGCAAAGAATTCCACTCCTTAGCAGTACGCACAAGGAAGCTTGATGCGAAGCGCTTCGTGCGTGTGGGTGGGACATCTACCATGAATCGGTGACGCTTCGACGATTGTCTTGAGGTATGATAATAGAAAGGACTAGGGGGTACCTTTGTCATAATTTCTATTTTTTACAGAAATCATAGACACTTACAAGTTTATGCCAAATGACAGTTGGTACGGGGTTGCCAGCCGCACGACATTCGAGCACAGCAGCGCCACCTCTCCTGGCGGCCGCGTGCCGAGACTCGGGCGACGCTCTCACGCTCGGAGGGACTAATACTTCCACAGTATGCACCTGGTCTCTGGCTACACGATCTGAGATTTGACAGACGTAGTCACCGGCATCCTGGAATTGAGAAACTACAAATTAGATGAATCAAACAAAGTCATTTTTTCTGTCTATCTGTTCTGTATGTCTGTATGCTTATCTTTAAGGTGCTATATATGGTGTATGTTATATATATGGTGTATGTTATATATATGGTGTATGCTTATCTCTAAAGTAAATTTAAAACATATATTAAGCGCGAATTATGTAAACAAGCTTACTACAGGGTGATTGATTATCTTGTTGATAGGAATGCTTGGCAGCGTGTTGGTTCGGCTCCACTGGACAATACTCAAATGTAGTCAGTACCTAGTTCAGATTACGATAATAGGTAATTTAATACTTTGATTCCGATGAAGGCAATCTATTTTTCTTGTGGCATCGAGCATTTCTTTCTTTATTTAAACAAGAGTTTATTTTTTTTTCTTTTATAGAAGCACTATTTTATATGGATTGTCAGTATACATATGTGAGGACCATGTCAGACTTAAGATATTTGTTTTCTCTTGGTTTTGTTTTTTTTTTTTTTTTTAGTATGTTCTGTTATTTGTATGTTGCTTCAGGTATGTCTTTACATTATTCTCACATGTGTGTACAATATTGGAATATGTATCAGAGCAATGTAAAACAGACTTTTTTAAAAGAGTAACGAATGGAGTTTCTTGCTCGTTCTTTTATCGGTTTATTTATAATATCGGTTCAAGCTAATTTCAACCATCGGCCCTACAGTTACAGCGTAAAGGTCACTGCGTGCAATCCTAACATTCGACAAAGTTATATTTGCGTTTGGTGCAGTAACTTGGTCTAGGGATTGAGCCGCACAATTAAGTTTGTTTTTTTCGTGTATATAGTTTTTAGGGCTAAAAAGTATCCACTGTTGTGCCCAGAATACTTAAGTATAATCTTACGAAGTATCATTGTAATCGGACCAGTAGTTTTAGCGTAATGCGTGAACATACATACAGACAGACAGACAGACAGACAAAATTTTTTTTAATCACATTTTTGGGTTCGGTATCTAGTAACACCCCTTACTATTTTTTTTTTAATATTTTCAATGTACAGAATTTATACTTCTACATTTTTATTATATATATATGTCGCGGAGAATCTAACGGGTAACCGGGGTTCCGGCTCGACGTGCAGGAGAAGGAACGGGGTGGTTTTTAGTCAGTAAGAGTCTGACACTCCCTCCCGCCTCACCCAGGCGGGAGCAGTCATTCGATAACTTTCCCCCTTAAAAAAATGATATGTATATAGATATTTGTTTCTTATCTTCTACAGAATCTATCTACTGGTAGACACTATACAATAGCGTACTATTTTCAAATACTGTAAGTAATGTATTCAAGTGTATCTATTATCAGTAATAAACCGAAAATAATCAAAAAATCCAGGACTCAAAACTCAAATCGAGACTTCTACTCGGTTATTACATACATAACACAATACAACTTTTACCCCCGAAGGGGTAGGCAGAGGTGCACATTACGGCACTTAATGCCACTGTATAATGTAAAACCCACTTTTCACTATTTATGTTATGAGTCCCATGTAATAGGGGGTGAGTCTATTACCATATACCTACCGGGAACATTTTCAGGCTCCGTACTACTACTGAGCATTTTTTTTAAGAGCCCTATAATACTTTAACGTACCCGGGAATATAAACCTTGCCCGGCAGTCGCACTTGCGACCACTCGGCCAATGAGTCAGTCGGCTATCACACCTTTCACAACTCAACCATCAAACCAGTCAATCAAAATAAAAACAACCTTTCACAAAAAAAAACAACTTGCAAAATAAAAAATATAAAAAAACCATCATGGCCGACTAAAATTGCGCGGGAAATCGTACCTCAGTGTTGCAACACATAAAAAATAACGAGGATGTATAACCACAAAGGTTTTTATGCGGCTATTATCATATTTTCCCTAGCCAATTACCGTTTAGGGTGCTATTTAGCATTTTTTGACGGCTACCAAAATTTGTAGAACGATTTTTAGTATTATAAAGGATATTTGTGGCTCATAAAGGCGGGATTTGAATTTTAAAGCCGTTTACAACTATTTCTAAGGGATTTTTAGGATGGTTATTAAGTAAATGTCTAGCTAGTTGTATTAGCTACATTCTTTTTGCTTAATTCATTCTGTCTCCTGCCGAAATGCACTGAGGGACTTTCCTCGGTGAATTTCGGTGTCGAGGGACTTCCCTCGAAACCTACTTACTACTTACCTCGAAACAAGGTTCGGCACGAATGGTCCAAATCGACCGGAGTGATACCACCAACGAGCAGAAAACCATAGTCAAAAAACCACAGCGTTGTGTTTCGTTACGTGAGTACTCTATCCCCCTCCCCAATCTCCCCAATCCTTAAATCCCCAACAATGATCAAATCCCTAATCCCTAAAAGGTCGGTAACGCACTTTTAACGGCTTTGGTATTCTAGATGTCCATGGGCGACGCCGATTGCTTACCATCAAGTGATCCGTCTGCTCGCTTACCGGCTTATGCCATAAACAAAAAACATAGGTAATATCCTCATAAAATTTCTCGTCTATTATAGGTTAGTAGGATGACAAGAAAATAATCTAATTTATTCAAAAGATCTTTTATAAGACGTTAGATGAAGATTTAATCAACTGATTGTGGAAATTACTTGATTTAGTGTTAATTAAAATTCATGAGTCGGCCAAAATAAAAGAATATCGGAAGAAAATATTAGGTCGTTGATTTTTCTTCTTATAAAATATTTTTAAATGGTTTCATTAAGCTTGCCCCGTTTGTTTATTTGGGTCTTTAGGAATTGGAATATCATCCCCTTCCTGACGACAGATCGATCTGATATTTAGTACATTCTTAATCTTGATGGCCATACAATATAATCTAATGTTCCACAACTACCTCCATTATGGATATCAAACGAAAGGACTTGATTGGTAGAATAGAGCGCATTGAAACCGTTTAAAATAAAAATGTACTCTTCTTAAATTTTTAGTCAAATGTTTATAAACAAACCATAATTTTTGAAGGGGTGAAAATCATCGAATGACTGCTCCCACCTGGCTGAGGCGGGAGGGAGTGCCAGACTCTTATTGACTAAAAACCACCCCAGTCCTTCTCCTGCGCTTCGAGCCGGAGCCCCGGTAATCCGTTAGGTTCTCCGCGACTTCGAATCGGCATCAACCCTGTTGGACCCCATCCGTAGTGGTCTGATGGCTTTTTGAAGCGCGCGCGTAACGCGACGCGCCGTACGCTCGGGAAAATTAGCCCCTAGCACGGCTTGAAACTAGTCTAATTCCTCGTTAAACAATTACGTGAGTAAGCCGAAAACATAATAATTAATTTAGCATGTCTCACGAACTCACTCTTTTTAATATAAACCATAAAGGGATTGTGGATTTCGATGTTGGGAGTTGCGGATTAATGATTGGTGATTAATGATTGATGATTGACGATTGACGATTGACGATTGACGATTGATGATTGACGATTTAGAAGAAATTTTCACATCATGTGCGCGTACAGCTCCTCATGGAGTTCCGCAAGGTAGTGTACTTGGACCGCTCCTATTTACTCTGTATATCAATGATTACCCTAAAGCCATTAAACATCCGATGACTCTGTTTGCCGATGACAGTACGATTACTATACCATGCCATGAAAAAACTAATTATGAAATGGACATAAAAAGTACTTTAATTGAAGCGGTAAAGTGGCTTGATAATAATAATTTAAAAATTAATATAAATAAAACTATGATTATGCATTTTAGTAATCGATTATCCTTATTTTCTAATCTTGACATCGAATATAATAATAATAGAATACAAATTGCTGAAACCACAAAATTTTTAGGACTGATAATCGACAAAAATTTAAATTGGAAAGCGCATGTTGAATCTCTAGCCAAACGAATAAGCAGTGCGGCATACGCGTTATATAAATTATCGCGTACTGTAAATATAGAAGCGTTATTGACGGCCTACTATGGTTTGGTTGAATCGGTCATTAGATACGGTGTAATCTTTTGGGGTAACTCAACCGATAGGGATGTCATTTTTAAGAGACAAAAATACTGCTTGCGATCTATGTTTAATCTTAAACCTACTGACAGCTGTAAAAATTACTTTATTAAATATCGTGTATTAACATTGCCTTCACTTTATGTATTAGAAATAACAATGTTCGTGAAGACAAATCCACATTTGTTTCCTCGTATGGCAGACAGATTTCCAAGAAATAGACGTGACGATAGCCAACTATGTTTACATACATCAAAAACTGCACTTATGCGCAAGAGTGTATTTTGCATGGCACCAATTATCTATAATAAATTACCCAAAAGTTGGAAAGAACTAACTATACCTAAACTAAAACAAACAATGAAATTGTTTTTGGCACAGAAAGCTTATTACAGTATAACGGAATTTTTAAGTGAGTCAGTGATTGTTATAAATAAATAACAATAAAAACTAACATTGCCCTAATTAAGGTTGTGTCACAGTGGAGGACACAAAGAAACATATTGTTAATATTATTACAATTGAATGTTATTAAATAATAAGTAAAATATATAATCTGTATAATAATAATTAAATCATTTTTAGTAAATATTAATTGAATATGAACAAATTAATTAATAATGTATAATGATACTGCAGATATTTAATGTAGGTATGAGTGTAAATTTTAAAATTAATGTAATAATTCACAGTCATCAAAAAATTTTTTTTATATAATAGATATTTGCACGCCATGATAAATGGCAGACATGTCGTAAGCCACTTTTGTCTAAGATCTTGCATGCTGTATTATTTTAATTCTGTATGCACACACATGTTTGAGCAAATAAAATTCTTATTCTTATTCTTATTCTAGTACGGATTGAGGATTTTTACCTGTGGTCCTACATCAGTGATCTGCAAATTGTAGCCGTCCACCAGTCGAAACCTTTCATCTCTTGTCACCATCAGACTGGCAGCTGTCAGCACTGCTGGCCCTCTTCGCCATAGGAGGACTAGGGAACCTGTGTACAAAGAGAAACGGATTTATATATATGTATACCTAATGTCATAATAAAAATCAAAATTGCGTTTGGAATCTTTTGCACAACAGCCCATATTTTTTTAAACAAAGGTTGCAGACGACAGCAACTTGCAGGTCGCTTCCAACCTCGCGCTGTGTAGTCTGTGGGGGAAGACTGTGGGAGGACGGTACGTGGCTGATAAACGAATAAGGATAATGACAGGGTATGGAGCAGTGAACGTCTTCCAGCTGAAGATGATGATGAGAAGGTCTTAAATTGAGTAATGTATTTTACTTACCCAAGTTTTGAACTTGACATGGCAGCAGCAAAGTGTCTCCGACTACAGTCCGAAACGAGTGACCTCTGGACAAAAACCGAGGTCCGTCATCTGGAAATAGAAAAATAATCATTTTTTATTAAAATTACATATTATAAAAATATCTAGGTAATCTTATTTTACTGATATTATAGCCCGCGAGCCTGCGGACGGCGAGCATGGGTGGCTCCCCGTCCGACCTGAACCGTGATCCGCCGAGCGTGCGGCGCCGAGCGTTCCGCGCGCGCCTCAAAGAGCCATCAGACGACCACAGATGGGGCCCAACAGGGCCGATGCCGATTCGGAGTCGCGGAGAATCTAACGTGTTACTGGGGCTCCGGCTCGACGTGCAGTAGAAGGAACAGGGTGGTTTTTAGTAAGTAAGAGTCTGACACTCCCTCCCGCCTTACCCAGGTGGGAGCAGTCATTCGATGATTTTCCCCCCTTAAAAAAAAACCGATGTTCTAGCTATAACTTTGTGTGTGTGTTTTACCAAATATTTAGGCTGGCAGGCCAATGTGGTGGGTTCCGTAAGGGCAACCCGGGTCACGGTCACAGGCAGTGAAGGAGCATCGCGGTGGTTTTAGCCGGTAAGAGTCTGGCACGCCCCCTCGTCGTCCCCACTACGTGGGAAGTCCATGAGGATTTCCATCGTGATAGAAAAAAAAGGCTGGCAGGCCAAACATGAGTACCCTCAATAATGTTAAAACAGCTGAAAGGATCAGTTGAATTGAGTTCGGAGAGGTGTAGGCCATTATTTATAACGCATAAAATGCTGACAGTACCATCACTCTATATCTTAGAAGTAGCACTGTTTGTTAGAAGCAACTCTCACTTATTTCCCACTCTGGCTGATAAAGTAAAACGAAATCGACGTGACAACAATCGACTATGTATTCACTCATCTAAAACAGCACTAATGCACAAAAGCGTGATATGTATGGCTCCCATAATTTATGACAAAATTCCTAAAGAAATTATTAAATTAAATTTAAACTTATTCAAACAATCGTTGAAATAACTAGTTACTAGTTAATAAATGCTATTGTAGTGTTCATGACTTTGTAAATGGCTAGTGTTTGTAATTTTTTTTTATTGTCCTCGTCAGAAGGTTTTAGTCTCTTATAGGAATGTTACAATTTAAAAGTTTAGTTACTGTTATTATTGGATTTAATGTTGTATTTCACATTTGTACACCAGGAATAGTCAAACATGTTGATACTATGCTCACTGCTCATCTGTACAACTTATAATGTGCATTCTATGATGTATTATTATTTCACACATGTTTTTGCAAATAAATAATCTTTGTCTTTGTCTTTGAAATTTGGAACAGGGATAGATTATGGTTTAGAATAACACAGACTACATTTACGCGTGCAGTGATTGTACAAAATGACCCCTTGCTGAATTCGCGCCATCTGCTCTAGCTCCCATTATAAAAACTCTTTTTTTATGGAATAGGAGGCAAACGAGCAGACGGATCACCTGATGGTAAGCGATCAGTGCCGCCCATGGACACCCGCAACACCAGAGGAGTCACAGGTACGTTGCCGGCCTTTTAAAAAGGAATACGCTCTTTTCTTGAAGGTTTGAAGGTCGTATCGGTTCGGAAATACCGCCGACGACAGATCATTCCACAGTTTTGCTGTGCGAGGCAGAAAGCATTGTGAGAAGCGCACAGTAGTGGCCTGACAACCATCTATATGGTGGGGATGCATATTCTGTTATTTAAAAATGGACAAAGGGAGAATTGGAACGGCAGAACATATATTTCGAATATTTCAAATCCAATCGTTTCTCGTTGGCATCCATATTTAAATTCCCATTTGGAACTATTGAAGGAAATATGATATATGGCCTAAAGTTTTATAGAAAGAATAAAAGTTTTCAAACAGTGATTTAATATGTCTGCCGCACTTATATTTGTTGATAGAGTGCGGGCAGATGTCTAAGATATATTTGACCACTTTTGAGCAAAGTTTTTCATCATTGCCTCGTTGGCCGAGTGGTCGCAACTCGCAAGTGCGACTGCCGGGCAAGGGGTCTCGGGTTCGATTCCCGAGTCGGGCAAAGTATTACTGGGATTTTAAAAAAATCTCAGTCGTGGCACGGAGTCTGGAATTGTGCCCGGTATATGGCAATAGGCTCATCCCATATTACATGGAACTCATAACATAAATAGTGAAAAGTGGGTGTTACATTGTACAATATCATAATGTGCAACTCTGCATAGCCCTTCGGGGATAAAAGGCGTGATGTTATGTTATGTTATGTTTTTCATCATCTCATTAACAACTGCCGCGCGGTTTTTGCCTCTCCTCGGCTTGTATTAATCGTAGCGTGATGTTTTATAGACTACAGCTATCCTCCATAAATGGAGAATTCGTAAATAAATCAAATTCAACCAGTAGTTCCGGTGATTGGTGTATTCAAACCAACAAACTGTTTAGCTTTTATATATTAACTCGTCGAGTACCGGTGCTGTAGACACAATTATAGAACAATAGGTTGCGGTCACCGGTGACCGCTTGGTGTTTGACAGAGTTTTGTACTGATATTACTGAGTAGAGGGTGAAAACGCGCGGGGGAGGCTAGTTTAACAAAATTAATAGTGGCTGGACCATAAACACCAATAATGGCAATAACTAACCTAGCATATCATAACATCACGCCTTTTATCCCCGAAGGGAAAAGCAAGGTGCACATTACGGCATTTAATGCCACTGTACAATGTAACACCCACTTTTCACTATTTATGTTATGAGTCCCATGTAATAGGTGTGAGCCTATTGCCATATACCGGGCACAATTCCAGACTCCGTGCTACGATTGAGATTTTTCTTTAAAACCCATTTTACTTTGCCCCTTGCCCGGCAGTCGCACTTGCAACCACACGACCATTTAGCCAACAAGGGAGACAACGTGGCAATAACTACTTAACTCGTCGAGTACCGTTATTATAGACACAATTATAGAACAATAGGTTGCGGTCACCGGTGACCGCTTGGTGTTTGACAGTTTAAACATCCAATAAACAAATAAATACTAACACAAACAAGATTATCCAATTATCTACCATCGTTTGACATTTTGCTACCGGACGTGACGTAACGGATCCTTACTTCCGGTAGGATCGCCATATTTATTATTTCCGAGGGAAGTGGCACTGTTTCGTTTTAATGGTTTTCGCCTCATGAAATAGAAAAGGGAGGTTGTATACGCCTTTTATTTCACAAAGGGATAGACAGAGGTCCACATTATACCACAGTACAATGTAACACCCACTTTTCACTATTTATGTTATGAGTCCCATGTAATAGGGGGTGAGTCTATTGCCATATACCGGGCACATTTGAGTAGTTTCCAGGGTATCAAAATTAAAAATCTATTTAGTCCGTAAGTTAGATAATGGTATTTCTCGTATTAAGTTGCAATACTTAGATAAAATGGCGCTAAGTTCAGGAGTGGGAGGTTGTTACGTCATAACGTGCTACAAAATGTGGCACGCTGTGACGTCACACGATATTTTAAATTAATATATCGTCGAAAGTATTTAATTTTGTGAGAAAAGAAAAAATACGTGTCTAAAGTTTTAAATTAATGTACCAGACGGATAATCTATTCCAAACACCATACTCCATTTTTAGGTATTGCTTTACCCTACCAAAATCAAATCGAGCGAGCTATGTGATAGAAAAATTTTTTTTTGATAGGAGAAACTCATTCAATGGCTCCTCCCGCCTTGAGTGAGGCGAGAAGTGTGGATGTGTGAACAAGTGTGGGAGAGCCTTGCTTCGACCCTGCCGGGCCGACTCGACCGGAGTGATACCACCGACGGCCGAGCAGAAAACCGATGTTAAACAACGCTTGCGTTACAATCAAAACAACAAAACTATGTACCTAACTAGAGAATTGTATTGTGAACCTGATTGGAAAAGAGTAACCTATGGAGTTTCTTGCTCGTTCTTCTACATAGGAATCTACACCTTGGAATGAGCAAATAGCTTCACTTTAATTTTTTTTGTTGACGTTTAAAAGTGCCTTTCTGGTCTAATTGAAATAAATGATTTTGACATTGAATCTGTGGTGTTCTGATGACTCTTTGAGGCACGCGCGGGACGCGACGCGCAGAACACTCGAGTCTGGTTCAGGTCTGGCAGCGAGCTACCCGTGCTCGCCGTCCCGTCATCATCGTCCCGCGATCCCCGAATCCCAGAATTATGTACTTACTGCGGTTATTCTGTGCCTGTGCAGCAATGAAGACGGCAGCCAGAAGCATCCAGTAGATCTCCATAGTGTCAACCACGTCCTGGCCAGGTCCAAGTGTACCTCATCTGCAACAAGAGACACAGACAATTAGCTAATAGGTATGTAAAGAAACCTTTCGTGTAACTGATTGACTAGGAACAGTAGCAGCGCGACAGTCGCCGCGTCGCGGGTCGTGGAATGCTGCTCATGAATATGAGCCTCTAGCATGGCTTGAAACTAGTCGAGTTCCTCGCCAAACAGTTACGTGAGTACGCCGAAAAGATAATAATTAATCTTTATTGCGAAAAAATTGGTTAACACGTTGAACGCCATGGGGGTCACCGGTGACCGGCGTTAGCGGAGGATTTACCTTCACCAGTTTTTTATTGGCAGTCAAAGTCTTAACAAAACCGACTTCAACCAATTTTTTTGTAAACCGGTCAATATACTAAAACTATATTAAAATCAGCTCAGCCAATGGCGAGATAATTGCGGATAAACATACATAACATAACATCACGCCTTTTGTCCCCGAAGGGGTACGCAGAGGTGCACACAGAAGTAACACCCACTTTTCACTATTTATGTTATGAGTCCCATGCAATAGGGGGTGAGCCTATTGCCATATACCGGGCACAATTCCAGACTCCGTGCTGCTACTGAGAATTTTTTTTTTTCAAAAACCCAGTAATACTTTGCCCGACCCGGGAATCGAACCCGAGACCTCTTGCCTGGCAGTTGCACTCGCGACCACTCGGCAACAGATCAAACTGACAGCCTGAGTGAGTCTGTGTATATATTTATGACTGAATAGTGTGGGAGAGCCATGCTTCGGCACGAATGGGCCGTTACCCTCCCCTTCTCCAATCTCCCCAATTTCTGAATCCCCAACGATCCTCAAACTCCTAATCCCCAAAAGGCCGGTAACGCACTTGTAACGCCTCTAGTGTTCCGTATATCTGTGGCAACGCCGAGATCAAAAGATGCACATACTTTGGTCGCATAAAGGGGTGCACTCTAATCAAGCGCATCGGTTGCTTACCTCGCCGCCTGCTCCCGCACAATCCCCGACGTCGCGCGCGCCGGCGACCCGCTATCGCTCGGTCGCGGGCGGCAGTGCCGAGCTAGCTACGACGGCGAATGCACGCTCAATTTCGCTCCCGCCTATCCGCTAATACCCCATATTATATTTTATTAGTTCGCGAATTTCTTCTAGTATCTGTTCTTATTTCTTTACTCGTGTCTACTTCTTCTATTATCTGCCTGTACCATACTTTGCTGTAAAGCTTATGATTGTGGGATATAATAAACGCTTTAAACCAACGGTTTGTCGTCATTTAACACCACCCACATATCCATGGGCGACGACGATTGCTTACCATCAGGTGATCCGTCTGCTCGTTTACCGGCTTATACCATAAAAAAATCACGTCAAAATGCCTGACGGGATCGGGATAAAATTTGGAACAGGGAGAATTGTGACAGGGAATAGTACAAAGGCTACTTTGTACCTCATGGGTACGTGGACAAAGACGCTTGTAGAAGGTAAAGTTCCATTATAAAACGACATGAATAAATCTAGGCGACATTTTATTATAACTTGGCTAGCATTATAATGCGCGCGATGCATCAACGTCACGATAATCTGCAGTCCTGCATATTTAACCAGAAGATAAATGACTTCATTATGGATTCTAGTTAAAATCTCTACTAATACTTATTACACACACAACATCAAGCCTTTTATCCCCGAAGGAGTAGGCACATTATGCCAATGTTCAATGTAACACCCACTTTTCACTATTTATGTTATGAGTCCCATGTAATAGGGGGTGAGTCTATTGCCATATACCGGGCACAATACCAGACTCCATGCTGAGAATTTTTTAAAACCCAGTAATACTTTGCTTGACCCTGGATTTGATCCCGAGACCCCAAGCCCGGCAGTCGCATTTGCGACCATTCGGCCAACAAGGCAGTCAGGAAAATAGTAATCTGGTAATATTCCGTCAACAATGAAAATAAATCAGGACAAGGCCGAAAAAACCTTCCGAAACCGCTGCAACACCTGGCAACACCTGCAACAACAGGAGTTGCGACCTATGAGTCTCCTCTACATAAGAGGGTTTGTCATGTGTCGATACAAGTTACATGTCAAATGACAGCTCACGCATATAGACGTGTGGGGACAGCGTGAGCCATGCTTCGGCACTGCTGGGCCGGCTCGACCGGAGTGATACCGCGGCCGAGCAGGAAACCGACGTGAAACAACGCTTGCGTTGTGTTTCGTCGAGTGAGTGAGGTTACCCGAGGCCCCATTACCTCACCTCCCTAGTCTGCCAATCCCCGAATCCCTCCTCAAATTCACAATTCCCAAAAGCCCGGTGGGTAACGTACTAATAACGCCTTGGTGTTTCAGGTGTCCATGCGCGGCGTGCTTATTGCTTACCATCAGGTGATCCGTCTGCTCGTTTACCGGTTTAAACTGTCAAAAACCGCAAGGACACCGGTGACCGCAACCTATTGTTCCATAATTGTGTCCATAATGACGGTACTCGACGAGTTAACCCATTAATAAAATTATTATTGATAAAAAACAAAAAATCAACGGATGACGTCATAAAATCCTACATCGCATATTTTTACATGTGAATTAACACGGATAGAAAATCCCAACGAACAACTGTTGGGCAGAAAGCCCGTCAGGCACGAACACCTCGCCTGGGTTTACTCTTGAAACCAATCTCAATGTCAATGCAATTTAAATCCAATAAAATCTCAATAATTATTCAATGTCAACACTATACAACCACAATCGTAGCTGTTACAATAGCATTCAGAGTACGGAATATAAAGACAAACTCAATACCATTTAGTTCATTCAATATCCACGCAATACGGATGCAATGGGCGCTAGTGATGCAACTCAAGAGTACGACACAATATCAAATGTCAACCGATCGGTATTGGATTTAAGAGTAAGCTCCCTGGTCGGTGGATGCTCTTGATCTGATCTTAGGGAACCCTGCTCCTTGTTAGTCGGGTATATGACACCCGCGGGAAGAAGTGGTGATTACAAATATGTATTCTATTTTGCCAAACGATTAATTTTCGAAGCCATTCCACCCACCATCCAATGTGGTGCCGGGGAATGCAATAAGCGCGTGTACTATGCTTTTTTAACTATAATACTGCTGGTCTGAGAGCACCCCAGCGAGGGGACGTAATCATATGGAATAAATTGTTAAGGGGAATGTTAGTGGGTGTATTTTATTAAACAGTCTTATTGAGCTTGCCCCGTGTGTTGGTTTAGGTTTAGTAATTGGTATTTCATCCTTTTATTCTTGACGACAGATCTTTCTTATTCTTTTTTTTACAAAAACGTTTCCCTACACTAGGATTTTCTCCTGTATCGTGGGTGCGTTTACAAACATACAATATCACATACACATGACACCCAGATCCGGGACAACAATGTGTGGATCACACAAAGAGTTGTTCCGTGCGGGAATCGCACCCGCGACACGTTGCGCGGCCACCGCGCAAACCGTGCTGATCGATCTGATATTTGGTACACACTCTTAAACTGTCAAATACCAAGCGGTCACCGGTGACCGCAACCTATTGTTCTATAATTGTGTCTACAAAACCGGTACTCGACGAGTTAATCTTGATGGCCATACACCTTGAAATCTATATCGTTATCGTCCCGAAGTAAAATGGTTCTGTTTTTGGCTCGGTAATACAATAGTCTTATAAACAAACTAGCGACCCGCCCCGGCTTCGTACGGGTGAAATATGCATGTATTATACATATAAACCTTCCTTGAGAATCAGTATTAAAAAAACCGCATCAAAATCCGTTCCGTAATTTTAAAGATCTAAGCATACATAGGGACGGACAGACGGTGGATAGCGACTTTGTTTTATACTATGTAGTGATAAAATGTATTTAACATAAAATAAGTAGTGAACAATTGCAAAAAGCAAACTTTGAAAGCGCATACGAACTCATAGTACATTATCAAAACATCAGGCCATGTGATTCTCGAAGAGGTATTTCTCGTCAGGCGGCACGTGCGATGCGAATAGTGCCTACAAATATACGTCTAGTGTTTCAAGTGCGTATTGTCATGATTTTTTTTATTAAAGAAAAAACATTATAATAATAATTATAAATTTTGATCTGCGACGTATTTCATTCTATTGTAGGAAATAAACTAACAACAATTATTTTTTTTATACTAAGGTTTTTTTGGAAGTGCTGCCCCTTAACTCCGGTCCCCTATGCACTTGAAATCAATCGCTCAGTGAGGTTAGGGGGCGCCCTATTTAGTTATTTATGATTAGGGAACGAAATTATTTTGAAAAATAATTTCGTTTTTGAATTCGAACATGTTGTGTTATAGTGATTTATTTCAAAGATGTTTTTTTCTATTTTGTATTGAATTTATGATATTTTTTGCTCTAATTAACTCGTCAAGTACCGTCAATATAGACACAATTATAGAACAATAGGTTGCGGTCACCGGTAACCGCTTGGTGTTTGACAGTTTAAGAGAGAATTTTGAGTTCGATTCTGTGTTTTTTTTAGGGGGGATAATCATCGAATGACTTCTCCCACCCGGGTGAGGCGGGAGGGAGTGTCAGACTCTTACTGACTAAAACCCACCCCGTTCCTACTCCTGCACTTGGAGCCGGATCCCCGGCAATCCGTTAAGTCCTCCGCGGCTACGTTCGGTTCATATTTAGCTCATGGGGTTTCTTGCTCGTTCTTCTCCATCCGAAACTAAACTTTGGAACGAGTGCCTAGCTTTGCAGGAGATACTCCTGGCAACGGAGAGTCTCCCGGCCACCGCAAGTGCAGTTCTGCGGACGGCGAGCAAGGTCAACCCCCAGTCTGACCAGAACCAGACGTCGCGTTTCACGCGCGCCTCAAAGAGCCATCAGACCACCAGAGATGGGGCCCAGTAGGGCTGATGCCTGATACAGAGCCGCGTAAGGCCTAACAGGTTGCCGGGGCTCGGGCTCGAAGAGCAGGAGTGGGAACTGGGCGGTTAGTCGGTTTAGTCAGTAACAGTCTGAC